AACATTTAAATTCTCCTTCAAAGGACAAGAAATCCATTGGTTCTTATCACTAAAAGCTTTAGGCTCATTATAGGCTGAAACTTTCATTAATTATACAGCCATATATGGCAGTTAGTCATTACTATGTTCCCTGATACATGTGAGGTACCTGGTCTCTTCATGAACATGCTGTAACTGCTTTAACTTATGCAGACTTCAAAGCTGAGAATCATGTGACTTATTCTGCCCTAATTGGAGGTTCATTAAAGAAACTATATATGCCTGCTGGGTAGACCATGCTGTCATACCTCTTCCCCTAACACAGCTAGAATGTTTTCCAGTTTCACATGCATTAAAAAATGTGTACATGGAAAATTTGATTTGCTGAAGGTGAGTAAGTTCAGTGCTCTTGTGAATCCTGTGTTTCATGCTATATTGCTCTTTATGTATGCAAGCTCATGGCTGATGGGGGAAGGCTGACCAGCACACACTGTCCTTGTCCTTCAGCTAATGATCTTGTCCCAGTTAGCAGCATAAGAATGACTAAAGCAGACAGTGGATTAATCAAGTTAAAAGTGTCAACTTCAAGGAGAGTCTCTTCAACCTATTTGTTTAAAAAAGTGATGTTTTCAAAAGGAAGACCTCAGCGAGGATGAGTGACTCTTAGCTTGCAAATAATTTTTTTTTTTTCATTTTCTGAAGGATATGTGAGTGGTAATTGCCTTTGTAGAACTCTCAGCAACAATGCTAGGGCGTTGTAGTTGTTGCTATGTGGTTGCTAGGGTGTTCTGGGTCATTTCTTACTGGCCCATGTGTACCTACAAATTCATCATTCTGATATTGAAATAGGCCATTTATACAATACTTTAAAATTCCATGGAGGTTTTTATTTGTATGTGTTTTGGGGGCAAATTCACTCTACTGTCAGAGAGTGAATTAGCATCTTCTCTTTATGTATGCAAGCTCATGGCTGATGGGGGAAGGATGACCAGCACACACTGTCCTTGTCCTTCAGCTAATGATCTTGTCCCAGTTAGCAGCATAAGAATGACTAAAGCAGACAGTGGATTAATCAAGTTAAAAGTGTCAACTTCAAGGAGAGTCTCTTCAACCTATTTGTTTAAAAAAGTGATGTTTTCAAAAGGAAGACCTCAGCGAGGATGAGTGACTCTTAGCTTGCAAATAATTTTTTTTTTTCATTTTCTGAAGGATATGTGAGTGGTAATTGCCTTTGTAGAACTCTCAGCAACAATGCTAGGGCGTTGTAGTTGTTGCTATGTGGTTGCTAGGGTGTTCTGGGTAATTTCTTACTGGCCCATGTGTACCTACAAATTCATCATTCTGATATTGAAATAGGCCATTTATACAATACTTTAAAATTCCATGGAGGTTTTTATTTGTATGTGTTTTGGGGGCAAATTCACTCTACTGTCAGAGAGTGAATTAGCATCTTCGTTTTGCCCTTCTTCCGTTTGAAAAATGAAATACATAATATATTATAATTTTGTCTTTTCCCTTGTCTCTTTTCTTAAAAAATGGTTTAAAGGCTGAAATGTGAGGTTTATGATTTTCTAAAGCAATGCTTTTGTTAAAACTGCTTTTTTGAACTGTAAAGTTTTTTAAATCATTATTTTATGGTCATTTTACAGTTTACAGTTACCATAAACACTGGTGTTGTTTCAAAACAACATTACTATCTAAACAATAAGTAGTAATATTAGAATTTTTCTAAATGATTTTAACTGCTGATTCAAATATTTAGGAAAATGTAAAGAGTATTAATGAGTATTATTTAGTATTTTATTAGAGTTGATCTACCCCTCCTTCTCATAACCTGCTTCAACACAAAAACAGTACACCAAAACAGGCTTAAAAAATTGTAAATGCATAGGAAAATAATAGCACACCTCTTCCAACATTCTGTTTTCACTCAATACAGGAAAAGTGCATACTGCATAAATATAATAATATTGCAAAATAATTGTAATATGCCATTGTTTTATTTAAGGAAATATTCTTAGCAGAAAGAGAAAATCTGATTTGCATAAGTATACAGAATTGCAGAAGTGCAAAGTTTAAAGAGAATGAAAACAAAAATATTGTTGGCACATAAAAACTGATTTGCATAAGCATTCTATCTCTGTATTGCAGAAATGCGAAGATAACATGGGTGAAAAACAATTGCACTAATGAGTGCCTTACAATTGACCTCTACTTGGGAATCATTATGCAGTGAAGGGATCATTATTGAAGTTGTGAATCTATAAAACATTTCTGAAAATTATTCTCATCCAAATGTAAGGTTCTTATCTACATTTTTGCTGTTAATTTGAGATGGTATATCTGCTGTTTTTCACAGACTGAAAAAGTCGTGCAAACAGGAAATTTTAAACTAGAATAACTTTTCCTGTAGATTGTAGGTCAGTAAAACAAAAATAGAAGATTTTGTGATGTTAGCTATTGTATGGCAGTGAATTTATCACATGAAGTGATGTATGGGTTTAGTTTTAATCGAAAGTGTGGGTAGGGTGTGTTTGTTTCTTTCTGTGGGTGCTGACTGTGTACATGTCAGATTATGTCTGTGAGAGAACAAGCAACAGTCTCTTTCATATACACCCATGCTGTTGATCTGGCCTCACTTTTGCTTTACTTCGCTTCAGATATTTCTGCACTTTTGATGAATGTGCCTCTGCTTTTGTTGTATATGAGACTACAAAGACAATTCATGGAACTTAAACAACCACACTGTGCTTTTGGTTTCATAATCAGAGACCCCAGGCTTTGGAATAATGAGCTAAACACAAATATTGTGTCTCGATCATGTTGTTGCATTTGCTTGTTTTTCACCACTGAAGCTCTTTGGACTGCATAAATGTGCTGCAACGAGCGTGTAGTTTCACTGCAGACCTTTCTGTTATATGTAGCTATGTGTGTGTTTGATTGATGATGACTGCAGTGCTGTGGGAGTCTTGGGAAAAATACCCTGTTTATTCTGCACATTCTCCAGGGCCAGCTCCGATCCACAGGCAGTTTGATTTATACTGGGATCCAAGAAGCTTTACACCAGTGTGCTCCAACTGGGAGTGTGTGTTGGTTTCTTGTACTCAGCAAGCTAAGCATCATGCTGAAGTTTTTACACAAAACCAGAGAAACGCCTTCTCAGATGTGGATCCAAATTTTGCATGCTTACTTTTTTAAAGCTTTTACGCTGTTCTCGGCCCACGCTCCCACGTCCAGCTGCTAATGGCTTTGCCGACCTGCAAAGAACATATCAAATGATAAAAGAGAGATCATCAGATGCTGCTAATGAAAGCTTTAATCTATGCAACCCTAATTAAAACCCCCTGGTTTGGCCTTTATTAAGAATGAGGGTAATTAAAACACCAATTGCCCTGAGGGTGCTATAAGCACTTTGCTGACACTTTTGATACTAGGGCCCTCCGTTTAATTGAAAGGATCCATTAAACACAGGATGCATCTCTGTCTATTTCTTTGGGCAGTAGATTTAAACCTGGGGAGAGAAAATGGCTAATGGGGCCCAATTTGGACATTTTCACTTAGGGGTGTACTCACTTTTGTGGCCATCGGTTTAGACATTAATGGCTGTGTGTTATTTTGAGGGGACAGCAAATTTACACTGTTATACAAGCTGTACACTCACTACTTTACATTGTAGCAAAGTGTCATTTAATGTTTAAAGACCTGTTTGTACTTAAGTGTCATTTTATAGTAAATACATAGTTTTATTTCCTAAACTAAATAATGGGGTTTTAAATTGTCTCTGTTTTAATCCTGAATCAAATGATTACAATATTATCTGGAGAATACTTTTATGTTGACAGTGTACTGTATCTTTTTTCTCCTTTCTTTGGTCATTATTAGACTAATGTAATACATATAAAAGTTTAAAACAGAAAAAAAAAATTAAAAAAGTTAACTTAATGTTAACTTTGACAACTCTAAAAAATATGTATTTTTAAATTATGTAAATATAGATAAACATATATATACATACATACATACATACAAGTACAGTATAAATACTTTTTTCTTTCTTTCTCTCTCTCTATAATACTTAAATTTCCCTGGACCCCCTTCCAGTTCAGATTTTTTAAACCCCTGCTGTAGATGATTCCATTTTTGGCAGATACAGATTCATCTCCTCAATAAAGATCCATAGAGCTCTAGGAAACCACTTTGGGTGATCAAAGAAACAACACTGGGCGAGCCTAAAACCTCTTTTGAGAAAGTTCTGCCAGAGCATAATGGGACAGCATCTGACAAGATAGGAACATACAAAGAAAACAAAAAGGAAGTGGGGGGGAACAAAAAGAAAGGTCATGGTTAGTGTACTTGTCATCAAGCCACATTCTGTTTATGGCTCCAAGTCAACACACAAGTGATTTTCCCTCAGCCTCATTCCTATCATGTGGATCCATCATGTATTGTTGTTTGCAACAAGACTTGTGGTATTAGCACTGCACAGCGAGATAAGGTTGCACTCAAACATGTATTTAAGGATGACACCCTCATGTAATACACCTTCTCTGTGCTGAGTAATGGTAGGGTAGCTCTGCTAGTGCTGGCTGTTAGCACTCGCCTAGAACTAATGAAAAAGGCCCCATTTCATTTAAGGAAAGTGGTGCTGTAATAGGCCTTCATCCCAGAGAGTGCTTTTTCAGGTAGAGGGATGGTCTGCTGAAACACAAGAGCCTCTCATCATTAATTACACTAAAAGGGAGGCTGTGCCTTTAAAAAAATAGTATGGCTGTTTTATTATGCACTTGGGAACCCTTAATTCACCTTGTTTGAATGCACTTTGAATGCTGGATTTAGCTGAAAAGCCTTTTTTGATGCTAGTATTTCTTCGTCTTCAATGTGATACAAACGGCATGAACCTCTTAAGTTAGATCGCTTTAGTACAAATGTTTTTGTGCTGAGTGTCAGTATGTAAATGAAAGGCTCGTTTGTGAGTTTTTCTGATTAAGTTCAGAGATGACGCTGTTTGTTTTTCTTCCAAGGGGCTCGGGGAGGCTTCAGCAAGGGGGACAAGAATGGAAGGAGACTGCCTCAGCTGCATCAAGTACCTCATGTTTGTCTTCAACTTCCTTATCTTTGTGAGTATTTATCTGTCAGACCTTGACATACACTTCACATTTGATCTACCAGAGTATAAAGGGAAATAAATGGACTACTCATAGAGAACTGAATGTGAGAAACTTCTTGCTTAATATGGTGAATAAATGAATAGAAGTTTAGAGCATCCAGTCACTTGTTTGATAGACAGGGTGTCCACGGGTCCTTAAAAAGTCTTAAAATGTCTTAAATTCGGATTCGATGGGTCTTAATTATTTTTGGTCTCATTACCGCTAAAATATCTTAAGTCTGACGGACCTAATGACTTTACAATCATTCGACAGACCGAAGAAACCCGCGGTAATTTACTGCGTCATCAGAGAGAGTTGAAGTAAAAGTTAGCAGAATACAGAATACAAGCTCGCGCTGAAGCTCACTCTGTTTGTCTCGAGACTTCAGAACAAATGAGCGTGACAGCACACATAAACTCAGAAGAACCACACTGAGGTAAAAATGATCACTGCATGATTCAGTCTATTAAAATACATTCAAAATGATCACAAATTCAAGACATGGGGGCAGAAAATGTGTATATTTATACTCAAGTTCACACGGAAGAGTGCCTTTTTTTCTCCAAAAATTACCATATACAAATGTGATATTGATTTTTTACAACAGTTCAATAAACTAGAAGTTTTATTAAGAGACTTACGTTTTAGACACCATATTGCCTGTTTTTGCTCTATTTCGGCAACAAAAATAATTCCAAACAAAGCCACAGCACTGTTTTGCGTCTCTGAGCAACATGACGGTGTTTCGTTCCCGAATGAATCGACCGTTTAAG